AATTACACGGGAAGAAACCCGAAATATTAACTGTACGCACACACACACACACACACACACACACACACACACATGTGTGTGTGTAGGTCTTTGGTTATTCGAGTTTTCTCCCGTGTAAAATTGGAAGTGTCTTGGCGACGTTTCAACGAAGTCTCATTCGTCATCTTCAGGCTGGTGTTTTCGGCTTCGTGCTTCTAGGAGCAATGAAGGCTTCGTGCTTCTAGGAGCAATGAAGGCTTCGTGCTTCTAGGAGCAATGAAGGCTTCGTGCTTCTAGGAGCAATGAAGGCTTCGTGCTTCTAGGAGCAATGAAGGCTTCGTGCTTCTAGGAGCAATGAAGGCTTCGTGCTTCTAGGAGCATGAAGCCGAAAACACCAGCCTGAAGATGACGAATGAGACTTCGTCGAAACATCGCCAAGACACTTCCAATTTTACGCGGGAGAAAACCCGAATAACCAAAGACCTACATACAAACACCCGCGAAAACCTCAGAAAAAGCTAGAAACTTACAGGCAGTGCTGGGATAAAGATCATGACATAAACCTGGGTAAGCCTGGAAAGACACACAAAAAAAATGGCATTAATTTCCAATTATTCAATTCCGCGAACATGTTCATGGCAGTCTTAAAAAACTCATATATTTTGTTGTAGCCTCTTCGGGCACCACATTGTGAGCTCTAAGCGGCTTCTTTGAAGAAACCCTGTCTTGTGACATCCCTCAAAACTTTAAAGAATAAATAAATATATATATATATATATTAAAAAGTTATAAAAGTCTACTTAATTACATTCAAAAGGTCCAGTTTTGTGGGAAATTTTATGAGGGGATCATCTGATCTTGTGAAAGACTAGATATTTTGAATGGATGCTCTTTACTCGTTTTAGTTCTGAAAGAAGATCTTAATTGCTGTGAATCTTGAATGGATATCCTTACTTGATTTGAATTTTGAGTGATTTCTTAATCGATGTGAAGTTTGAATAGTTTTCTTAATCGGTGTGAATTTTGAATGGTGTTCTTAATTGATTTTAATTTTGAATGGATGTTCATTATAGATTTGAACTTTGAACCATTTTCTTAATTGATACGAATTTTGAATGGTTTCTTGAGGTGAATTTTAAATAGATTTCTTAATTAGAATATAATTCTTTTATTGGCCAAGTGTGATTGGACACACAAGGAATTTGTCTTTGGTGCATATGCTTTCAGTGTACATAAAAGAAAAGATACGTTTGTCAAGAATCATAAGATACAACACTTAATGATAGTCATAGGGTACAAATAAGCAATCAAATCATACTAAGAAACAATATAAATCGTAAGGATACAGCAACAAGTTATAGTCATACAGTCATAAGTGGGAGGAGATGGGCGATAGGAACGATGAGAAGATTAATAGTAATTGATGTGAATTTTAAAAGATGTCCTTAATTGATTTGAATTTTGAATGGAGGTTCATTATAGAGTTGAATTTTGAACCATTTTCTTCATTGATACAAATTTTGATGCTGTTTATTCATTTGGATTTTCAGTGATTTCTTAATTAACATGAATTTCGAATACTGTTCTCAGTTGATGGGTTTGAATTTTCAAAGAATAATCTTTACTCGATGTGAATTTTGAATGGATCTTCTTTATGGATTAAAACTTTGAAGCGATGTTCTTAGTAGATGTGAATTTTTAAGGGATGGTCTTTATTGATTTGAAAGATTAACACAGGCATTGGCTGTAGCAACCACAAAGCAAATTAAAAACAGCACATCAATTGTAATCACGGCTGGAGTTACAGTAATAGAATTGGCAGGGACCTTGGAGGTCATCTAGTCCAACCCCCTGCTCACGCAGGAGAGCTGTACTAGAGATTCGAACCGCCGAACTGCCAACCTTTCTGATCGACAAGCTCAGTGTCTTAGCCACTGAGCCACCTAGCCAGGCTATTGGAGTTGGAGGTGTGTGACAGGGTAGTCAAAAAATCAAGATGGCACCCACGACAATGGGATTCAAACCTTGCCTCGAATTCAGACGCCATCTTGATTTCAACTCCCAGAATTCCCCAACCAGGCCCTTCCAGCATGATACACAGCTAGTCCTCAAATTATGACCACAGTTGACAGAACACTTTTTTCAGTGCCGTTGCAATTTGAACGGCACTAAATGGACTGTTGTTAAGTCGAGGATTACCCGTAATTCTATCCCATCATCTTCAAAATGATTCCTTGTCTGTCCTTCAGGTGCCTTGGAAAATAGCTTGACCCCCTTCCTCCTGTCTGGGGCAGCCCCTCAAATATTGGAAGATGCTCTCCTGTCTCCCCTGGTCCTTCTCTTCACTAGACTGGCCATGTCTTCTGTCCATCTATGGTTCATTCAGATGTCTTTCTTTCTTTCTTTCTTTCTTTCTTTCTTTCTTTCTTTCTTTCTTTCTTTCTTTCTTTCTTTTTCTTTCTTTCTTTCTCTCTCTGTCTCTCTCTCTTTCTTTCCCTCCCTTCCACCTTCCTTCCCTCCCTCTCTCCCTCCCTCCCTCCTTCCTTCCTTCCTTCCTTCCTTTTGCTTTGGAGAATAGCTTGACCCCCTTCCTCCTCTCTGTGGAAGCCCCTCAAATATTGGAAGATGCTCTCCTGTCTCCCTGGTCCTTTTCTTCACTAGACTAGCCATGTCTTCTGTCCATCTATGGTTCATTCAGATGTCTTTCTTTCTTTCTTTTCTTTTCTTTTCTTTCTTTCTTTTCTTTCTTTCTTTCTTTCTTTTCTTTTCTTTCTTTCTTTCTTTCTTTCTTTCTTTCTTTCTTTCTTTCTCTCTCTCTCTCTCTCTCTCTTTCCCTCCCTTCCACCTTCCTTCCCTCCCTCCCTCCCTCCCTCCCTCCCTCCTTCCTTCCTTCCTTCCTTTTGCTTTGGAAAATAGCCTGACCCCCTTCCTCCTCTCTGTAGCAGCCCCTCAAATATTGGAAGATGCTCTCCTGTCTCCCCTGGTCCTTCTCTTCACTAGACTAGCCATGTCTTCTGTCCATCTATGGTTCATTCAGATGTCTTTCTTTCTTTCTTTCTTTCTTTCTTTCTTTCTTTCTTTCTTTCTTTCTTTCTTTCTTTCTCTCTCTCTCTCTCTCTCTCTTTCTTTCCCTCCCTTCCACCTTCCTTCCCTCCCTCCCTCCCTCCTTCCTTCCTTCCGTTTGCTTTGGAAAATAGCCTGACCCCCTTCCTCCTCTCTGTGGAAGCCCCTCAAATATTGGAAGATGCTCTCCTGTCTCCCCTGGTCCTTCTCTTCACTAGACTAGCCAGGCTCAGTTCCTGCAACCGTTCATCGTATCTTTTAGCCTCCAGGCCCCTAATCCTCTTCATTGCTCTTCTCTGCCCTGTTTCTAAAGTCTCAACATCTTTTTTATAGTGTGGGGACCAAAACTGGGCGCAGTCTTCTAGGCGTGGTCTTACTAAGGCTTTTATGGAGTGGTATTAGTACCTCCCTTGATCTCCTTTCTCACCTGGAAACTTCCGGATCCTGCCGGATCAGCAACAGAAGTTGTTCTGTATTGATGAAAAATGCCCAGCATGGGAAACAGCAGAGGAGAAGAATCAGGATGCCTTGTTGGAGGATGGTACCCACCCGTTTCATGTTCTTCCCGCCGTACGTCTGGAAGAAGAAAGGGGAAAGACCAAGGAAATGGGTTTATGCAAAAAGCCTATCTGCAGGAATCTTCTGGGCACCAATGGTTAGCTTTGGCCAGGTTTGTTTGTGGCTATGTTAGGATGCTAGGCTGATTCCTATTTTGACTCCACCTCCAGGATCTGTCAGTCCTCCTCCTACAGTCACCCTTTGATTGGTTATCTCTCCTCCTCCTCCTCCTCCTCTTCTTTGCAAACCCCACTACTTTCTAGTACTGGTGGTGTTACCTAATCAGGCAATGAAACTGTCAGCACTTCAAGCTGCATTTTACTCTAGTGCTGACATAAGAAGGAGAAGCGGAGGCGTCTGGAAAGGGACGTTTGACTTTTCACCTACTTATTTTCCCTGGGGATAATATCCCCTAGGAGATGGGATGGGAGGGGGGAAATTCCTTTGAGCTGGAGCAGTAGATAGTGACTTGGAAGATGGCCAATGAGTGCAGGGGAGTGGGGAACGGAAAGGGAGGGTTTTGGGTCTGGAAGTCAGTGTTGGCTGCGATGGAGTCGGAGTAGAATGTCGTGCTTAATAAATGGGAGGTTTTTTTCATCAAAGACTTTGTTTGAAATGCAATTTATTTGAGACGACCTCGAATCCTGACAGAAACATTTGCACGAAAACCACCAAGCTCAGAGAGCACCGAGGATCCCACAGTTAAGCGATTTTATATAATTGTCTCAGCAGCACCTTCAAACCATGAAATAGCAAAAGAGAATATGGAATCTCTTTTGCAGAAAATTAAAAATTCCACTCTTTTGGATTTTGAAGGGGGCTCCCTCAACCCCAGATTTAGCCCATCCTGAATAGAGAAAAAAATCAGGAAAATGGATTGTATTTTTTTCTTTCCGTATCTGGCAAACTCCGAGCTTGGACAGAAACTCCGCAGAATTTCCAATCCATGCTCGGCTGATTTCCAGGGCAAATCATTTTTTCGCCATCCCCACATCGCCCCCCTGCAAACCCAAACTGGCATTATGACCAGTGGTGAAATTCAATTTTTTTTTTACTACTGTTTCTGTGGGTGTGGCTTGGTGGGCGTGGCAGGGGAAGGATACTGCAAAATCTCCATTCCCACCCCACTCTGGGACCAAACAGAGGTGGTATTTGCCAGTTCTCCGAACTACTCAAAATTTTTGCTACCGGTTCTCCAGAACCTGCTGGATTTCACTCCTGATTATGACCCACCTGAGATATTAATGTGTCACAAGCCGAGGACAGCCCAAAACCTATAGAAATGCCAGTCACGTTGATCACCTAAAAACAGGAAGAAAGAAAGAGGAGGAAAAATTTAGAAAACCCAGAGATTACCTACCTGTTGCTATTCTTATCCAAAATCATAAGAGGGAGATTATAAAAGAGGTTAAGGTTTAATCCCTCTTTTAATCCTAATATTAATGCTCTATTTGTAAAATTTACATTTTAAACTCCAAGCTCGCCTTTTAATTTCCAATTGCAGCTACACCTTCATAGCAATAACACAATGCAGCTAGTCCTCAATTTACGACCACAACTGAGCTCAAAATTTCTTCCCACCTTCCCATGTTTTATTTGTTTTATTTTATATAACATTAAGTTTCCATCAAATAGCGTGTGGTCTGGGTACAGTTATTTTTAAACAATCATAATCCACATATTTGTTGTAGTATTCATCACAATAATATTAATAATATAATAATAACAATAATACTTAACATCATCTTCTTTAACAACTCTCCACGTTAACATTTCCTCTTTTTATGTCTCCTCTTTTCTAACTTCTGTCTCTATTGTCTACCCATTGATAAATTACATCCCATATCAAAAAATATTGTTTCTTCTTTATCCTTAATAGTGAGCGTTAATCTATCCATTTCTGCACATTCTAATATTTTCTTAGTTACATTCCCCTCTGATGGAATCTCATGATTTTTCCATTGCTATGCAAATACAATTCTAGTTGCGGTTAGTTTATGCAAAACCAGATATATAGTCTTTTTAATCATATTTTTCTTGTTGCTAAGCGAGACATTTGTTAAGTGAGTTTGGGGTTTCCTTGTGGTCTTCCATCCCAAGCAGAAACCACCAGGGCTGACTCTGTTTATCTTTTGGAGGTCAGCCAATAGTCAGCTGGTATTTACCATCCGATGAAGATGGAGGAGGTGGGAACACGTGAAAAGGGAAACTCACCGCAATGGCAAGAGTGACGGATGCCAATTCAACCTTCCCCATGTGGCCGCAAAATATCGTGCTGACGACGTGGATCATGAACACCAGGAGCTGAATCACCGTCTAAGGGAAAAAAAGATGAGGAGAAGGCAGGTGAAGATTTGAAACTCTTCAAAGTGGCACCCAGAAGTGTGGTAGGAGCCACCATGTGAGTCCTGGAACATCTGGAGTCGTGCATCTTTAAGTTTCCGATAGGTTCAAATGGTGCAATAATAGCAATTTTAGTGTTCAGTTGTAGATTAGCAGTGTTTTTCAACTGAGGCGACTTTAAGATGGGTGGACTTCAACTCCCAGAATTCCCCACCCATCTCAAAGCATGCTGGCTGGGGAATTCTGGGAGTGGAAGTCCACCCATCTTAAAGCATGCTGGCTGGGGAATTCTGGGAGTGGAAGTCCACCCTTCTTAAAGCATGCTGCTGGGGAATTCTGGGAGTTGAAGTCCACCCATCTTAAAGCATGCTGGCTGGGGGATTCTGGGAGTGGAAGTCCACCCTTCTTAAAGCATGGCTGACTGGGGAATTCTGGGAGTGGAAGTCCACCCCTCTTAAAGCATGGCTGGCTGGGGAATCCTGGGAGTTGAAGTCCACCCCTCTTACAGTTTCCAAGGTTGAGAAATCCTGGATTAAAGTATTATAACCAAAAAATTTAAAGCTCCGTGATAGATTAAACTCATGCAATAACGCAGTTCAATACTGGGGCTTGAATCAGTTGTTCCAATCCCCCTAAATTTATCCATCTCTTTGCTTCCCCTTTAATCTCAAAAAGGAAATCTTAAATAATTAAGAAATAAAAGGCAATAAAATGTTTTTAAAAAGCCGCAGTTCACTAACGTTGGTCAAAATGCAACTCGGACTAAAACTTTGCAGCCGAACAAAATGCTTAATTTTTGACCGTAATAGAACAGCTCTCGTCCTGCAATTTCTCTCCCAAGATTGCAGAATCGATCTACATTTCGATTGAGAGACGCTTGCTTCACACCTGAGCATCAGGATAGGTCTCAGGGTGTAAAATCTAACCTCAAATCGGAGCTGTATAATATATCTGTGGGCACACAAGCATTGCCCTAGTTCCAGCGTGCATGTGTACGCCAGCCAGCTGATTTTCGGGCACTTCCGAGCCCACCAGAAGTTGGGAAATAGGCCGTTTCCGGCCTCCAGAGTGCCTCCGGAGGGCTCGGGGTGGGGTGGGGGAGGCCGTTTTCACCCTCCCCACGCTCCAAGAAAGCCTCTGGAGCCTGGGGAGGATGAAAAATGAGCCTACTGGGCCCACCGGTAACCTTTTTGCCGTCTTGTGCCAAAAGCGGAGGGAGCACAGGAGGCCGCGTGTGCATGCGTGGGGGGGGGAGGCAGGGTGCGGGGGTAGCCTTGAATTATGGGTGTGGGCATGCGTGCCCGCAACCCACCCCCACATTTCCCCCGCTTTTGGCACGTGACAGCAAAAAGGTTAATCATTGCTGCCCTATAGCATTCCAAAAAAATGGTTGTCCAACCTCTTCTTAAAAACTTCCAGTGTTGAGCATTCACAACTTCTAGTGGCAAGCTGTTCCACTGATTAATTGTTCGCACTGTCAGAAAAATTTCTCCTTAGTTCTAGGTTGCTTCTCTCCTTGATTATTTCCCATCCATTGCTTCTTATCCTGCCTTCAGGTGCTTTGGAGAATAGCTTGACTCCCTCTTCTTTGGGGCAGCCCCTGAGATATTGAAACACTGCTATCATGTCTCCCCTGGTCCTTCTTTTCATTAAACTAGACATACCCAGTTCCTGTAACCGTTCTTCATATGTTTTAGCCTCCAGTCCTCTAATCATAGCAGCCCCTTAGATATTGGAGTTAGTTGTCAAGGGTAGTTTGGTTGCCACGAAACCACAAACACCTAGCAAATTTAATAAATAAATAAAGTAAAAATCCCCAAAGTACTTTTTTTCAAAAGGCAACTGAACTTTCTTTGTCTTTTTTTCCCCTTGAAAAACATTTCACTTCTTCAGAACTGAAGAAGCTTCTTGGATGAGAAGCGAAATGTTTTGAAGGAAAAAAAAAACTAAAAAGTTCAGTTGCTTTTGGGAAAAAAACCTCTGGGGACAACCATGACTTGGTGGAACCAGGATGACTGAGAATCTCTATAAAGAAACAAAAGAAAAATGAAAGTCGGCTGACCATAGCTGAGCCAAGATAGAATAAGGTGAATCTTGGAGTCCTAGTGGACAATCACATAAATCTGAGCCAGCTGTTTGCTGCAGCTGCCAAAAAAGCCAACACACTTCATTTATTTACTTATTTATTAGTTCGATTTATATGCTGCCCTTCTCCGGAGATTCAGGGCGGCTTACAATGCGTTAAGCAATAGCCTTCATACTTTTGTATATACTTGCTTAGTAGGGCTTTTGCCCCCCCCAAGCGGTGTTCTTTTTTTATACAAAGTCAGCTTATTGCCCCCACAATCCGGGTCCTCATTTTACCTACCTCGAAAGGTTGGAAGGCTGAGTCAACCTTGAGCCTGGTGAGAATTGAACTCGCAGTAATTGCAGGCAGCTGGCAGCTAAGTGCTACTTTAACAGCAGTTTTAGTCCGCTGCGCCACCAATGCAGTTCTAGGCTGCATCAACAGAGGGATAGAATCAAGAGCTATGCAGGCTCAAGGAGCCTGGATAGCTCAACAGACTAAAAGCCTGTTATTAACATTCAGCTGTCTGCAATTACTGTAAGTTTGAATCTTGCCAGGCTCAAGGTTGACTCAGCCTTCCATCCTTTCTAAGGTAGGTAAATTGAGGACCCAGTTTGTGGGGGCAATAAGCTGACTTTGTATAAAAATATACAAAAGTATGAAGGCTATTGCTTAACGCATTGTAAGCCGCCCTGAGTCTCCGGAGAAGAGCTGCATATAAATCTAATTTTTTTAAAAAAAAGATCATATGAAGTGTTAATACCACTTTATAAGGCCTTGGGAAGGCCACACGTGGAATCCTGCATTCAGTTTTGGTCGCCACGATGTAAAAAAGATGTGGAGACGCTGGAAAGAGTGCAGAGAAGAGCAACAAAGAGGATTAAGGGACTGGAGGCTAAAACATACGAAGAACAGTTGCAGGAACTGGGTATGTCTAGTTTAATGAAAAGAAGGACTAGGGGAGACATGATAGCAGTCTTCCAATATCTCAGGGGTTGCCACAAAGAAGAGGGAGTCAAGCTATTCTCCAAAGCACCGGAAGGCAGGACAAGAAGCAATGGGTGGAAACTAATCAAGGAGAGAAGCAACCTGGAATTAAGGAGGAATTTCCTGACAGTTAGAACAATTAATCAGTGGAACAGCTTGCCACCAGAAGTTGTAAATGCTCCAACGCTGGAAGTTTTTAAGACAATGTTGGATAACCATTTGTCTGAAGTGGTGTAGGAGGAGGTGAAGAATGGTTGCAGGAACTGGATATGTCTAGTTTAATGAAAAGGAGGACTTGGGGTGACATCTTCCAATCTTCCAGTATCAGAAGGACTGCCACAAAGAAGTGGGAGTCAAGCTATTCTCCAAAGCACCAGAAAGCAAGATAAGAAACAATGGAGGAAAACTAATCAAGGAGAGAAGCAACCTAGAATTAAGGAGAAAATTCCTGAAAGTGACAACAATTAATCAGTGGAACGACTTGCCTCCAGGATTTATGGATGCTCCAACACTGGAGGTTTTCAAGAAGAGATTGGACAAGCATTTGTCAGAACTGGTACTGGGTTTCCTGCTTCAGCAGGGGGTTGGACTGGAAGACCTCTGAGGTCCCTTCCAAACTCTGTTATTCTGTGTCCTTTTTTTAAAAAAAACCTGCCTTAAGAACATCTCTAATAGGCTGCAAGTTTGCAAAGGGAAGAAGACTTACCAACGGCCCGGCCATCACCAAAATATTCTTCACCTCTTCCCAGAAATTGGAAGGAAACAGCCGACATAATTTCCTGCAGCATGGAAGAACCGAACTCTTGGGATCTTCGTCGGATGAAGTACCGAGTGGGGGCTTCTCCAAGTCTGAAGCCCCTTGATCCATAGGTCGCGGGGTGGGGCGAAAGGATTTTTTGGAGGTTTCTAAGAAAATTGGGTTTCTTCTCCTTGATCTCGTTTTTTCACCCGCTGCAGGATGGACTTCAAGCAGATCTGGACTCCCGGACTGTCTTCTTCACAGTCCGATACCTTTTGGGCAAAGGGTGAGCGAGGGAGCCCGTCCAGAACCAATAAAAGACGGGGAGGAGCAGCCGGTTGGGAAATTCGGACGTGTGTAGACATGGGTGGGAAGTTGATTTGGGCCGCTGGGATGTTTCTAAGATTAATGATCACGGGGTCAAATGACGGATGAGGTTCCAGGAGCTGTTATGAAACTCAACTCTGCTGCCAAGTCAAATCTCCTGGCCATTAAAAATAGCACGGCCCAAGGAGCGGGTACTCCTGCCTCCGAAGCTGTTGTTTATTTCAAGGTCCTAGTCCTCATTGGCAAGGACAGGGATTTGGTAGATGGAGGGAAGCTGGTTTTCGCTCCATGGGGAAGCATCTTTATTTATTGTTTATTTATTGGTTCGATTGATATGCTGCCCTTTTCCGGAGACTCAGGGTGGCTTTTTTAAAAAAAATTATTTATTTATATGCCGCCCTTCTCCGGAGACTCAGGGCGGCTTACAATGCGCTAAGCAATAGCCTTCATCCTTTTGTATATTTATACAAAGTCAGCTTATTGCCTCCACAATCTGGGTCCTCAGTTTACCTACCTTAGAAAGGATGGAAGGCTGAGTCAACCTTGAGCCTGGCGAGATTCGAACCTGCAGTAATTGCAGGCAACTGGTCTTAATAACAGGGTGCTTTAGACCACTGTACTACCAAGGCTTACAATGCGTTAAGCAATAGCCTTCAGACTTTTGTATATACCTGCTTAGTAGGTATACTAGGTAGGTATACTACCACCCCCCAAAGCGGTGTTCTTTTTTTATACAAAGTCAGCTTATTGCCCCCACAATCCGGGTCCTCATTTTACCTACCTCGGAAGGATGGAAGGCTGAGTCAACCTTGAGCCTGGTGAGATTTGAACTTGCAGGCAGCTGGTGTTACTTAACAGTGCTGCGCCACCAAGGCAGTGTGTGAATACCACTTTATAAGGCCTTGGTAAGGCCACCCTTGGAATATGGCATCCGGTTTTGGTCGCCACGATGTAAAAAAGATGTGGAGACTCTGGAAAGAGTGCAGAGAAGAGCCTTGGTAGTACAGTGGTTTAAAGCCCCCTGTTATTAACACAGCTGCCTGCAATTACTGCAGGTTCGAATCTCGCCAGGCTCAAGGTTGACTCAGCCTTCCATCCTTTCTAAGGTAGGTGAAATGAGGACCCAGTTTGTGGGGGCAATAAGCTCACTTTGTATAAATATACAAAAGGATGAAGGCTATTGCTTAGCACATTGTAAGCCGCCCTGAGTCTCCGGAGAAGGGCGGCATATAAATCAAATTAAAAAAAAAACAAAGATTGGGTGTTAAGTGAATTTCGTTGTATAGGTATACTGTACTATAGGTATATTATTATTAGTAGTAGTATTATTAGTATTATTATGAGGAGGAAGAGGAGGAGGAGGCTGGAGGATAAAACATATGAAGAACGGTTGCAGGAATTGGATATGTCTAGTTTGATGAAGAGAAGGACTAAGGGAGACATGATAGCAATTTCCAGTATTTGAGGGGATGCCCCAAAGAAGAGGGAGTCAAGCTATTCTCCAAAGCCCCTGAAGGCAGGACAAGAAGCAATAGATGGAAACTCATCAAGGAGAGCAGCAACTTAGAATTAAGGAGAATTTCCTGACAGTCAGAACAATTAATCAGTGGAACAACTTACTTCCAGAAGTTGTAAATGCTCCAACACTGGAAGTTTTTAAGAAGAGGTTGGATAACCATTTGTCTGAAGTGGTATAGGGTTTCCTGCCTAAGCAGGGGGTTGGACTAGAAGACCTCCAAGGTCCCTTCCAACTCTGTTATTCTATTCTATTCCAAAGTAGAGGCAGTTAACAGAAGGACATAGAATAGAATAGAATAGAATAGAATAGAATAGAATAGAATAGAATAGAATAGAATAGAATAGAATAATAGAAGATTAGAAGAATAGAAGAAGAATAGAAGAATAGAAGAATAGAAGAATAGAAGAATAGAAGAATAGATTAGAAGAATAGAAGAATAGAAGAATGGATTAGAATAGAAGAATAGAAGAATAGAAGAATAGAAGAATAGAAGAATAGAAGAATAGAAGATTAGAAGTTTAGAAGAGTAGATTAGAAGATTAGAAGAATAGAAGAATAGATTAGAAGAATAGAATATAAGATTAGAAGATTAGAAGAATAGACAAATAGACGAATAGAAGAATAGAAGAATAGAAGAATAGAAGAATAGAAGAATAGATTAAAAGAATAGAAGAATAGAAGAATGGATTAGAAGAATAGAATAGAAGATTCGAAGATTAGAAGAATAGAAGATTAGAAGATTAGAATAGAAGAATAGAAGATTAGAAGAATAGAAGATTAGAAGATTAGAATAGAAGAATAGAAGATTAGAAGAATAGAAGAATAGAAGGTCAGAAGATCAGAAGATTAGAAGATTAGAAGAATAGAAGAATACAAGATTAGAAGAATACAAGATTAGAAGAATAGAAGAATAAAATAACAGAGTCTGAAGGGACCTTGGAGGCCATCTAGTCCAACCCTCTGCTCAAGCAGGTACAGTATTTCTGTTCTCAACTGACAACCACAGTTCTCGACTTAAAACCTTTTGATTAATGACCGAAGTTGCAAGGGCACTGAAAAAAGTGACTTATGACCGGTTTTCATACTTACAACGCTTGCAGCATCCCCCTGGTCACATGATCGAAATTCGGGCACCTGCCAGCTGGCATGTATGTATTCACCACAGTTGCAGCCTGCCAGTGCCAGGGTCACGCGATCACCGATAACCTTCCCAGTCGTCTTCTGACAAGCAAAGTCAACGGGGGAAACCAGATTCGCTTAACGACTGCACGATTCACTGAACGACAGCCGCGATTCGCTTAACGACGGTAGCAAGAAAGGTTGTACCATGGGGCATAACTCACTTAACAACTGCCTTGCCTAGCAACCTGGAAATTTGGGGCACAACAACTGTGGCTGTAAACTGAGGACCAGCTGTATATAATGTCTCCGCTTAAAGAAGTAAATTAAACAAAAGGGCGATTAATCATTTTGTCCGAAACGAGGAAAAGCAAAACCTGTTATTTTATGTTTTTAAAATCAGCAAATAAAAGGACGGGCAGTTGAGCCCAGAATCGTATAAACACGGCTCCCCGTAAGGGTTGAGTGGTTTTACTTGGCCGAGAAGTAAGAGATAAAATTGGCCGCAACAATGGGACAATTTTAAACCCTGGATTTAAAAGGTCTGAAAATTAGGGGAGCTTTGGATGATAAATAGGAATATGTGGGCTTGGTGGTTTTCTTGGAGACGTTTCCTGACCCAACTAGGTAACATCATCAGTGCTAGAAGGGAGAGGGGTTTGTGGAGAGGAGGAGGAGGAGGACTGTGGGGTCCTTGGTACTCTCTGAGCTTAAATTAAAAAACAAACAAACATAACAAAACATAAAACAACCATCATCCGTTACAATCACAGAAAGTGGTGTCGATCGGTTAGAATTCTTTTGTGCTTAATCCCGTATCCAAAATTTACAGGTTATTTAGTTTCTCTTATTCGACGATTTTTTTATACCCCTTTATGCTATTATTCTCATTTATTTTTATTTATTTTATTTTATTTTATTTTATTTTTAATTTGATTTATATGCCGCCCTTCTCCGGAGACTCAGGGCGGCTTACAGTGCGTTAAGCAATAGCCTTCATACTTTTGTATATTTTATACAAAGTCAGCTTATTGCCCCCACAAACTGGGTCCTCATTTCACCTACCTTAGAAAGGATGGAAGGCTGAGTCAACCTTGAGCCTGGCGAGATTCGAACTTACTTTAATTGCAGACAGCTGGTGTTAATAACAGGGTTTTATTTTATTTCGAATTTATATACCGCACCTTCTCCCGAGGGACTCTCAGGGACCGGTGTACAGCCAAATAAAAACATACAATACAAACATTAAAAACAATTAAAAGGATATATATTAATTTGGCCCCAATTTAAGATAACAAACCAATTAAAATTTTTAAAAAAAATATGTTAAAAAATATGTTAAGCCAGCCCGGCTTGCTGAAAAAAGAAAGTTTTAAGGGCACGGCGGAAGGCACCGAGGTCTTGGATTCTCCTTATCTCTGGGGGCAGCTGATTCCAGAGGGTAGGTGCCCCCACAGAGAAGGCCCTCCCCCTGGGGGTCACCAGACCCCCTGGGGGTCACCATTTATTGGTTTGATTTACATATATGCCACCCTTCTCCGGAGACTCAGGGCATCTTACAATGCGTTAAGCAATAGCCTTCATACTTTTGTATATACCTGCTTAGTAGGGCTTTTGGCCCCCCCTAAGCGGTGTTCTTTTTTATACAAAGTCAGCTTATTGCCCCCACAAACCGGGTCCTCATTTTAACTACCTCGGAAGGATGGAAGGCTGAGTCAATCTTGAGCCTGGTGAGATTCGAACTTGCAGTAATTGCAGGCAGCTGGTGCTACTTAACAGTGCTTTAGTGCCTTAGTCTGCTGCGCCACCAAGGCATTTAACAATTATTTGACAATGGCTGGACTCCCATAAAAAAAATCGTTTCATATATTTTATCATTACATTTACTTCATATTTCATACTTTATAGTAAAAAAACAATCTCATAGTCTTTTAATCAATCCAAGTCTTTGCCAGTTAAATCAGTCCAGTGATGCAAAAAGCTTCTTACTACACAAACAGTAGTTGGTTAGAATAACAAATTCACTCTGGTAACAAACCACGATGGTAGCAGATCCATCCAACCGATGATAGCACAATGGTAGCAACTCCACACACAATGGTAGCATATCATCAACTGAATACTTTACAGTACCTTTCTTAAATACGTTTACAACCAGTGATTATCTAATTACAGCACGACTCAGCATTACAATGAATCAGCAGGAAAACTTTAAAATCACACAATACATATTCATGTTAAAGTCACAGAACACATATATTGCCTGGACAACCTGTTAGGCTCAAACCATATGTCAGG